TCCTACACTGCAACCAAGGTACATGCCCTCAACCGGAATCGAACCAGGGACCTTTCAGTCCACAGCCCGACGCTCTATCCACAGAGCCAAACCAGTCAGGGCAACTTAATTGTAATTTTGATGTGGTTGTGGGAGGCTACCAGTACAGGCATTTACCTACGTTGTCATCTTGGTTCATCATAAATTGATGTTGAATTTTGTCAAATGCTTTTTCTGCATCTATTGAGATGCTCGTGTGATTTTTATCTTTGGTTTTGTTGATGTATCATATTAATTGTTTTGTGGATATTTAACCATTAAATGTTCTTATTATAGAAACTGAATTGGAAAACTGAGATAGCTATTCTTTAGTCATTAATCCTTTTTAACCATATAAGATAGCTGTGGTAATATGATCTTTAGTAATTCAAAGTTTCTTAAGAATACTACTGTATTTATTAATGGGAGGGAAAAGGAGGACCTATGTAAGACTTCCAACAATAAAGATTAAAAAGAAAAGAAAAAGAATACAACTGTCAGGTAGGCAAGAGAGCCTTCACATCTGTCTTTCTCATTAATGCACATGCCCTCCTCCCATCCTTTTCTCCTCCTTTCACCCTTTATTCATCATTTTAAGTCTTGGTTTAGATAGATGGCAGTTTTCCCTGACAAATGGTTAGCTGGGTACAGTGTTGTAACTACTAAAAAATTGGTGTTTATACAATCTGCTGTACACCATTCATCACTCCACATATGATACCTCTAAATCCAATAGAAAATATCTTCATATATATATATATACTAGAGGCCCAGTGCACAATCAGGGCTGGGGAGGGATGCAGGAGGTTGGCCAGCCAGGGAGGGACTGTGGGAGGGCTCCAAGGCGTGTCCACACGTCTCACTCAGTCCTGGACCCCAGCAGCAAGCTAATCTACCGGTCAAACCGTCTGCCCCCTGGTGGTCAGTGCACTTCACAGTGAGCAGTTGAGCGGCCTTAGCATATTATTAGCATATTACGCTTTGATTGGTTGAAAGGCCAACAGGACGACCGGTTACTTAGCATATTATTAGCATATTACGCTTTGATTGGTTGAAAGGCCAACAGGACGACCGGTTACTTAGCATATTAGACTTTTAGCCCTGCAGTTGTGGCTCTGTGGTTGAGTGTCAACCTATGAATGAGGAGGTCACAGTTTATACATCCTAGCACCAATGCATACATGTAAGTCCTTCCTCATTCTGGGCAAAGAAAGGAGTAACTAAGAGGTATTGAGTTTGATTTCCACCCTTCTCTAGATAACCTGTACCACCATAAAGTTTTTTATCTACTTAAGGTGTATATACTAACATAATTAACATTTCTTACTGACAGGGTAAAGTACTATCAGAATCAAACAGTACACCCTAATAACAGTAATGCCTTAGATCTGTGAAATCTAATTCGTAGCCAATGGCCACCTGGGGCTATTTAATCTAAACTAATTAAAATTTAATAAAATTAAAAATTGCTTTTGTCAGTTGTACTAGCCTCATTTCACTTGCTCAATAGCCACATGTAGCTGGCACCTACCATTTATACAGCATAAATTATAGAATATTTTCATCACTGCAGAAAGTTTACTAGATAACACTATCCTAGAGGCCACTAAAACATAGAATATTATTTATCCTTATACTAACACTACGGTGTCGGGTGAATTTCCCGCCAAAATATAAGATGGCGCGTTAAAATGCCTATATCTTTTGAAGTATGGGTTCGATTGAAATATTTGGTAATACGCAGTTACAATCGGCCCGAGTTTACACGTTTCCCGCACTCCACCGCAAATCTATATGAACCGAGTTTAAGACGGCTCCCGCGGAGTACGCGCAATTCACGCGAGCCGGAGTACGCGCAATTCACGCGAGCCGACTTAACTCGTTTCCCGCAACCCAAGTGCTAACAATGCCCTAAACGTTATATTTTTGTTTTTCTATTCATTACTGAGATTTTTCTGTCTTCTCCCTCATAACACTTGGTCAGTTGTGTACCACATGCACAAAGTGCTTCCAGTTGCTGAAACCTGATGAAATAATTAAACAAACAGAACAAAAGCATATCCAAAGTAGATTCTAGAAAAAGTCCTCAAGACCTAAAATTTCATCATGATGATTTTGATTTTTCAGAATCCTCTTTTCCTCTTCCTAATTCTCAAAGCTGTTCAAGTTAAGCTAAATTAACTGTTAGAGTATCGCCACTCTTCATTATTTATGGATTCCATATTTGTGAATTCACATACTCACTAAAATTTATTTTTATCACCCAACTCAATACCAACAGCACTTTCATAGTCATTCTGGATACACACAGAAGAGCAAAAAATTTCAGTCTCCTGATGCATGTTCTCCCAAATGAGGTCAAACAAGGGACACTGTACCTTCTTATTTTAGGTTTCATAATAAGTGTCCTTTTCATGATTTATGCAATGCCATATTTTTTATATTTTTGTGCTTTCTGTTAGTGATTTCCCTATCTAAATTGGTCCCCAAGAATAGTACTGACATGCTATGTAGTGTTTCTAAAAACAAGAAGACTGGGATGGGCCTTACAGAGAAAATGTGTTAAATAAGCTTCATTCAGGCATGAGTATAATGCTGTTGGCTATGAGTTCAATGCTAATGAATAAATAATATGTATAAAATAAAGTGTCTTTAAACAGAAACACACATAAAGTAAGGTTATGTATTGAGTGGCTGATGAAAATGTGACCAGAAGCTCACAGGAACTAACTCTGTGAGTTACTATGAAAAATCCACCAGACTGGCAAAATCTAAAACTCAGCCATAGAAAGATGGGGAGAATACAATGCATAGGTACTTTTATACACTGCCAGTGAGAATATAAATTATATAGCCATTTTGTAAAACAGTTTTACATTGCCTAATAAAAGTTGAACATAGTCCCTGGCCAGGTAGCTCAGTTGGTTTGGACATTGTCCTGATACAGCAAGGTTGCAGATTTGATCCCAGTCAGGGCACAGACAAGAAGCAAACAATAAATGCATAAAAGTGAAACAATAAATCAATGTCTCTCTCTCTCTCTCTCTCTCTCTCTCTCTCTCTCTTAAATCAATTTTAAAAAAAAAATGTTGTACAGCCCTGACTGGGTTTGCTCAGTGGATAGAGCATCTGCCCGCAGACTGAAAGGTCCCAGGTTCGATTCCAGTCAGGGGCATATCCCCGGGTTGCGTGCTTGATCCCCAGTAGGGGGTGTGCAGGAGGCAGCCAATCAGTGATTCTCTCTCATCATTGGTGTTTCTATCTATCTCTCTCTCTTCCTCTCCCTTCCTCTCTGAAATCAATAAAAATATATTTTTAAAAAGTTGTACATACATATACCCTATTATCCAGCAATTCTACTTCAAAGAAACTCTTCAAAGCTTAAATCATAGGATATTTATAAACATATACATATATATAATAGTACTGTACAAAAGTGTTTAACAAAATATGAAATAATAGTTATTGGAATGGAATTAGAAGATGGATAATAGATGGGGCTCATAGGAGGCTTCAAATGGCTGTGGTCAATTTTCATTTCTAAAGACGGTTGATGAGTAAATGGGTATGTGTTTTATTATTTTTTATATTGTACTAGAGGCCCGCTGCACGAAGAGATTCGTGCAATAGGCTTTCCCTTCCCCTGGCTGCCAGCACCAGTTTTCCTCTGGCACCCGGGACCCAGGCCCTGCTCCAGCCGGAGCCTTCAGTCTTTGCTACTCTGGTCAAAACCTTCAGTCTTCACTCCCCCACTTCGTGCCTGCATATGCAAACTAATCACCATCTTTGTTGGGTTAATTTGCATACTCTACTGATTGGCTGGTGAGTAAAGCTGTGTCTATTCTTTGGACACAAAAGAATGGTGTTTAAATGTTTCTTTACAATGAAACATTTAAACACCAGGTGATTCAAAAGGTATGCAAATAGTAAAAAAAAATACAAAACATAAAAGAAAAAATAAGTACAGAGATTAGTTAAGAAAAAATAAGTATAGAGATTAGTTTCCAAGAATTACAGTAGAATAAAAAAAGAGTAAGTTTTATTTATTCATGTTTTTCCTATGAGAACATTAATTCTTCCTCAAAGATATGGACATAATGTGTTAACAATGAAAATGTATAACAAAAAGAATACTTACCTTTAAATCCAGATGTCTAGACACCACTTATCAAGGAAAAAATTTAGCTCATGGTCCTGATGTCATCTAAATATGCTACTTCAGTAAAATAACAAACTATATTAAGTGTATTTTCCCCTAAAGGTAGTCATTGAGTCACTGAGTCAAAGTTCATCTTACTAACATTTCCTTAAACATACACAGAACGACTTGAGAATCATTGCAGAAGTCACAACCTCTGCTCAGATCAGTACTCCAATCAGTTTTACTGCTCAGAACAGTAACAGCACCTTAATCAGTTCTTTTTATTTATTTTTATTATATATACACATACACACAAATTATTGATTTCAGAAAGGAAGGGAAAGGGAAAGAGAGAGATAAAAACATCAATAATGAGAGGGAATCATTGATCAGCTGCCTCCTACCTACTGGGGATCGAGCCTACAACCCAGGCATGTGCCCTGACAGGCAATGAACTGTGACCTCCTGGTTCATAGGTCGATGCTCAACAACTGAGCCACACGGGCAGGGCTTAACCAGTTCTTTTTAGTTAATATTTCCCTCAAAAGGATCAAGAAACTTAGTTTTATATCATTAGTAATCCAGAAAAAAATATAAATTAGATTTTAAATGTTTCAGTAGACCGAAGTAAAAAGATTATGTTTCATCAAATCACACACTGCATTTACCTATGAAATAAAAATCTTTCCAAAATTTAAACAAGCAAAAAAAGAGGAAATAAAAATTTACCTCATAAGTTCAAATATTGAATAAACTATTAATGAAATCCATATAAATATCAATCAAATACCTATTTAAATTTTTATTTCTAAATGGTATCTGAAGCTACACATAATCTTACCTGGGGAGGATAGTTGCTCTCTGAAGACCACCTTGAAGATTGGTCATTTGGTTTATCCACTAAAATATTCCTGAAATAAAGAAAATTATAGAAATTAATTAAAAGAATAAGTGAACATAAATATGCAAAGAGATGAATAATCTACTAGATCAGTGATGGCGAACCTATGACATGCGTGTCAGAGGTGACATGCGAACTCTTTTTTGGTTGATTTTTCTTTGTAAAATGGCATTTAAATATATAAAATAAATATCAAAAATATAAATCTTTGTTTTACTATGGTTGCAAATATCAAAAAATTTCTATATGTGACACGGCACCAGAGTTAAGTTAGGATTTTTCAAAATGCTGACACGCCGAGCTCAAAAGGTTCGCCATCACTGTACTAGATGCTAAAATTATTAGAAGGTTATATAATGTCTGGAACTTGAAAAAGAGGAGAAAATAAAATAGAAACAGAAAACATCTAGTATATATAATATTCTAAAATATGATAAAGATAGCATTTCAAAATATTGAGAAAACCAAGAAAAACATAGTTCTATTTCATACCAAGTGACAATGTATTTAATGTGCAGATGTATTTAGGAATTTAAGGTAAAAACAAAGCAGTAAAATACCTAATAATAAATAACATACCACATACATATTATATTAGATACAATTATATTGTATTATTACATATTATATAATTGTAATCAATCTATGGATCAAGGAAGTCTTTAGCCCATCATCAAAAGCAGAACTGTAGGTGAAAAAAAAAATTGATATAAACAACTTTGGAAAATGGTGCCTTCACTGTAAACTGTAAACTAAAGATAAATGGAACCATACAGAAAAACTGTACTTTATTTGGTAAACTTGTCTTTCACAGGAACATGGGTTAATTCTGAAACACTTTATATGTATATTCAGGTTGAACAAATAAATAAACAGATCGTAGATGATGGGAGCTAAGCTTCTCACATTGGAGTGGTAAGTGACAGAAAAGCAAGGGGTGGGAGGTTAGAAAGAACCAGTGGTATTGGATTAGAATCAAAGATATCAGTGTGAACTCATGTTTAGTTTAATATAAATAGGTTCACAAGTAATAATAGATATGTGTGTGTACACACACTAATCCTACTTCTGTTCACTAAGAGGGACTAGAAGCAGTGACACTTCAATGGCAATGAGCACACCCAGCACCCCTATCTTGGTTTCTACATACCACAGTCCAATAAAATAAATAGGGATTGTTGGGGAAGTGGTTGATTCTACGGGCAGGACAAGGAATTCAGAAGATTAAAGCCCAGAACATCATGTAATATTACCAACAACAAAAAAACAACAACAAGAAAATAATTGGGGCATGCAAAAGGTGCAGAGAAATCAACATGAAAGAAGGATAAATGGTCAAAGCTGAAATAACATAAATAACAAAATAAATAATGTAGTATTAAATTATAATCGAAAGCGTAAAATAAATATCCATGGGTCCATACTAATAGTCCCCAGTCTAATGATCAGAAAAGCAACCTCAAATTAAAGAAATTTCCACAAAATACATGACCAGTAGTCTTAAAAACTCTAAATATAATGAAAAGCAAGGAAGACTGAAAAACTGTCACAGACCAGAGAAAAATAAGGAAACATGAAAACTAAAAGTAGTTGACTCTTGATTGTGTCTACTGAGATGAGGATGTTTTTCAATAAGTGTAATACTGTAACAGTATTTTTCTCTTTCTTATGATTTTCTTAACATATTTTCTCTAACTTAGTTTATTGAAAGAACACATTACATAAAACAAAGAATATATAAAATATGTATTAATCAACTGTTTATGTTCTTGGTAACTTGGGGGGGGGGGAGGATCAAAAGTTACATGCAGATTTTTTACAATGAGGGGTCAACACCCCTAACCAGCATGTTGTTCAAGGGTCAATGGTATCTTGGATGGGATCCTAAATCAGAAAGTGGACATTAGTGGGAAACTAGTGAAATGCAAATAAAATGTGGATTTTAGGTAATAGTAATGCATCAATCAATGTTGGTACCTTAGTTGTGATGTACCATCTATATATATAAAAGCCTAAGCAACTGGCTGACCGTACAACCATCCAACCAGTGGATGATACACACTGACCACCAGCGGGCAGATGCTCAACGCAGGAGCGGAAACCACAGGCATAGAAACATGGAACAGACAGATGAATCTCAGAGGGAAGGGGGGGAGGGCGGGAGAGATTAACCAAAGATCGTATATGCATACTAGAGGCCCGGTGCACGGATTCATGCACCTGTGGGGTCCCTCGGCCTGGCCTACGTCCTCTCACAATCCGGGATCCCTTGGGGATGTCAGAGAGCCAGTTTCGGCCCAATACTCACAGGCCAGGCCAAGGGACCCCGCACTGGGCCTCTAGTCCTATATAATAAAAGGCTAATATGCAAATCAACAAATGGCGGAGCAACCGGTCGCTATGATGTGCACTGACCACCAGGGGGTAGATGCTTAAAACAGGAGCTGCCCCCTGGTGGTCAGTGCGAAGCACCGCTCAGCCAGAAGCCCTGAGCCAGGCTCACAACTGGCAAGCAGTGGCGGTGGCGGAAGCCTCTCCCACCTCCGAGGCAGCGCTAAGGATGTCTGACTGCCGGCTTAGGCCCGCTCCCCACGGAGAGTGGGCCTAAATCATCAGTCGAACATCCCCCAAGGGCTCCCAGACTGCGACAGGGCTCAGGCCAGGCTGAGGGACCCCCCCACGAGTGCACATATTTCGTGCACCAGGCCTCTAGTCCTAATATATAAAAAGCCAGGGGCTGTCACAACCGAAACAACTGGACAGACGACTGAACATCAGGCTGCGTGGGGCGACCAGGCCAGCAGGGGGGTTAGTGAGGGACGACCAAACGACTGAACAACAGGCTGCATGGGGCAACTAGGCTGGCAGGAGGGTTAGTGAGGGACGACCAAACGACTGAACAGCAGGCTGCATGGGGCGACCAGGCCAGCAGGGGGGGCAGTAAGGGGCGACCAGGCCGGCAGGAGGAGCAGTGAGGGGGCAACCAGGTTGGCGGGGGGGGGGCATAAACCGGCAGTCAGACATCCTCTGAGGGGGTCCCAGATTGAAGAGGGTGCAGGCTGGGCTGAGTGGACCCCCCATGCACGAATTTCGGGCACCGGGCCTCTAGTAGTAATATAAGATTTTAGCAAAGGGACAAACTAGGTGAGTGGCATATGGGAATTCTGTACCGCCTTTGCTACTCTTCTGTACTAGTATAGTAAGTCCTCCCTTAACACTGTCAATAGGTTCCGTGACTTCAAGTGAAATATATAATGAACCCAATTTTATCATAAGTTTAACTGATATAACAAAAGTTTCCTCAGCATTTCATCAATCTAATAAGGAAACAAGGTTATTTGAGGACCTGCTATAAATGTAAATTCATTCTCAAATAAAAAGTATACTTTCAAAAAGCTAGATCTCTACCTGGCATACAGAGGGTACTTAATAAATATCAAATAGATGCGTGAATAAAAATCTTTAAAGGCAGAACTATACAGAAAATTACTTTTACATACACATCTCACAAAGGTAAAAATAAATACATAAAATGACCTCAAACAAAATTAAAAGGCAACCAACCAACTAGAAAAATAAAAGCAATGTAAAACACAAAAAGCTAAAAATTCAGAATCTACATTATAAAAGGCCAGTGGTCATAATGCCATAACGACCAAACAATCGGTCACCAGGAGGTGCATGGAGCACCTCTTAGGCCAGTGATGGCAAACCTATGACACGTGTGTCAGAGGTGACACGCGAACTCATTTTTTTGGTTGATTCTTCTTTGTTAAATGGCATTTAAATGTATAAAATAAATATCAAAAATATAAATCTTTGTTTTACTATGGTTGCAAAGATCAAAAAATTTCTATATGTGACATGGCACCAGAGTTAAGTTAGGGTTTTTCAAAATGCTGACACACCGAGCTCAAAAGGTTCGCCATCACTGGATTAGATCCTTCCCCCACCCCCTGGGGCACCAGCAGTGTCGGTGGAGCATCGCGGGGTACCGCCAGCATCCGTGGAGCATGCAAGGCATCACAGGGGTGCAGAAATGTCTCTGATGGCAGGCGAGGCCTAGGGGACCCTACACAGGCATGAATTAATCATGCACTGGGCCTCTAGTCAATAACAACAAAAAATTGGAGATTAAAACAAAGACAGATTATCCCTATAATACTGTGCTCACACACCCCCCAAAAAAGAAAAAGAAAATAAAAAAGCATGCTTTAATTATAATCTCAGTTGTTGGCTAGAGCCAGTAAATAGTATTTCATATTTTGCTAGTAGGAATGCAAATTGACACAACTTTTTAGGAGAGAACTTTAATATAATACATATCAAAAACATTTTAAATGTACATATACTTTAAATAAAAATAATGATGCCAACCATGATGATACTAGCATCTAACATTTGTGAGCTTTTACTATATACCAGACACTGTTCTAAGTATTTTCCATACATAAGCTATTAAGAAACTGAGACAGATAAATTAATTTGCCTAAATATACACACCTACAAAGTAAGGACTGGAACCCAAGGCAATCTGATTCCAAAGTCAATGCTCTTAATCACCACACTATACAGCCTCAGTATTATTCCACTTCTTGGAACTTAACCTAAAAAATAATCTAGGAGATGTAAATCACCCACCTTCATCACAGCACAATTTATAACAGCCAAACTATAAACAACCTAGTTGTCTAACAATAAGGAATTCATTAAATAAATTATGACATACCTATGTTACAGAATACCATGTAATCATGATGTATAGTTGCAAATGTTCACTACATACTAAGTGAAGGGAAAAAGTAGTTTACAGTACATACATGATTAATCAAGTGTTGTATGTAATAACAACATTCATGGAGAAAAGACAAAGAACATATACTACAATAGCTCTCAATGGTGAGATTAGAACAACTTTTTGCCTTCTTTGTGCTTTTGTAGGGTGCCCTCTGCATCCCCACCTGTCACTGGTGGAAAAGGAGTTCTTGGGTGCTGCAGGGAAAAGAATTT